ATAAACAACGTTGAAGGTGCCCAGATCTCACTGCACCTGTGCACCTGGTGACGGGATGTCCCCTCCATCCTTTGGGACCTTGCCAGCCTAGAACCTGTTTTGGCCTCCAGAATGTGGTGTCAGAGCCAGCCTTGGGGCCGATTCAAGCTTGTCCTTGTGGGGACGCGACTGTTTCTACTCTGCTTCATCTCCCATGCCATTGGCCAGACCTCACACATAACTGGAGGACAGAGGGCCAAGAGCTACATAGAAGTTAAGGAGTCATCAGTGCAGAGCAGGCTGGCCCAGCTGCCTCCAGACAGTGTCCAGTAGCCTTGGCTGGACACTGAGGTCCTCCAGCCACGCCCAGTCATGCTGAGAAGCAGTTTCACCCACCTGGACTGGAGAGCAACAGATGGATGGCTAAAAATTAAATTGTTTTAAGCCGCCAAGCCTATGGACAGTCCACACATGGTGCTACTGTAATAGTAAGAAGCAGACTTGGCATCCCAAGACTCTGAGGACAAAAAAAATCTAAACTTCTCGGGCTCCCCACACTTCTTCTACACGAGAGTGCTATCCTGTTGATATTGACAAGGTCCCTTCCCCTGTCTCACTTGGAAACATCTTCCTCTGCGTACAAAGGTTCCAGGCACACTTCTAAGATGATCCCATCACCCTACCCATGGGCTTTTCTTCAGAGCACCCTCACCCATCCCTGAGGGAGACTATGTGTCCCACGCACTTGGTCAGCCTGCTGCTGCAGTACAAGGTACGGTCACTACCCGGTGGCATCTGTGAGTGGCCACATAGTACCCTCACAGACCATGGTACCACTGAGAAATCTTGCTTTGTGGAGCTATCCCTTGACCAGGACACTAGGGACCCAGCATTCCCCAAAAGATAGGGTAGGTGAGCACACAGTCTCCTTGAACAAGCTGCTGTCCCCAAAGGAAACTGGACAGCCTCTCATGGTGTTTTAAGCAGCATGGACTTTGGGGGACAGGCGCATCATAGGCTTCCTTCTCCAATCTCCACCATTAAGATGCTTCTCAGATTCTCCCTGTGTGGGGGCAACCTGGCCTGACCCGCTCCCCCCAAGTTTTCCTGCTCACAGTTTGAAAGGGAGTTTCAAAAGCTGCATGCTGTCTTTGGCTGTCCTTCCCTTACATGACCCCCTACCCTGGTGAGGTTTGTTTGTTTGTTTGTTTGTTTGTTTGGTTGGTTGGTTGGTTGGTTGGTTTTGTGTTTTGGCTTTTTGTTTTGGATTTTCAAGACAGGGTTTTTCTGTAGCTTTGGAGCCTGTCCTGGAACTCACTCTTTGGACCAGGCTGGCATCGAACTCACAGAGATCCACCTGCCTCTGCCTCCCGAGTGCTGGGATTAAAGGCATGCACACCACTGCCAGGCTCTGGTAAGTTTTTATTATCAACTTAATCATGGTAAGATCTAAGCAGGAGTCTCAACTGAGAGAGGGCCCAGCTCAGGTCCTATGTGAAGAGAATTGTCTTAACTGTTGATTGCCATGGGGGTATCCAGAATACTGTGGGCAATGTCGCCCCTAGGCAGGTAGTCCTGGTTTGAATAAGGAAGCTAGCTGAGTACAATCCAAAAGAGCAACCCCGTAAGCAGCATTCCTCCATGGTTCCTGCCTCAAGTTCCTACCCAGATTTCCCCAAAAGACACCGTGACCTGGAAGTATAAAATGAAATAAATCCTTTTCCCTCAAGTGGCTTTTGGCCATGGTGTTTTCACAGCAACAGAAAGCAAAGTAGAACACCCCCTCCCCAAAGGAAGGGACAGTGTTGCCAAAGAGCCCCCCCCCGAGGTGCTCAGCATCTCACCCATCACTTCAAGTAAGGAAAATCCATTCCTGGCTCCAGGCTTTGTCGTCCTTAATAAGCTACAGCTCCTTTCTCCCAAAGGGTGGGACTTGGGGAATGGTTCCCATCTCTGTTCACATCCAGCCTCCCTGGATACTTGGAGCCAAGTTAGAATCTGGGAGAAGCCATGTCTTCTTCGGTCGGTCGGTCTGTCTCTACCATTTTCATATTTATTTATCTATTTGTTTGTTTGTTTGTTTATATTATTGTTGTTGCTGTTACTACTATTATTATTTACGTGTGTGTGCAGGTCTGTGGCATATGGGTGAGGGTGCACGCTTTTGTGATACGTGAGGGGACAATCTTTTGAGAATCCTCTCCTTCCACCATGTGGAAGAATCAAGCTTGTGTTTTCAGGCTTAGCAGCAACCCCCTCCCCCACCCACCTACTGAGCCGCCTCTCAGGCCCTGTAGCTTCATTTGTTTGAGGCAGGCTCTCTTACTTAACCTAGAGCTCACTGATTCCTTTAGACCCCTGGTCAGCAAGCTCCCGGGAGGCCCCCATCCCCCATCTACTCTCCTCCTCACCCTCCAGCTCGGGGGTTCCAGGTATGCTCTGCCACACCGGGTTTTGTTATGGGTGCTGGGGATCCAACCTCAGCTCCCTGTTAGTCTATTTTTGAGATGTATTTCTTTTTATTTCATGGAGGTGTGTTTCGTTTGCATGTATGTACATGCACTCTGTGCCTGCTTGGTACCCAGAGAGGCCCAGAAGAGGGTGCCAGACGTCCCCGGAACTAGAAGTGGGGAAAGTTATAAGCCACCGCATGGGTGCTGGGAACCAAACCTGGGTCCGCTGCAAAACAGCAACTGGTCTCAACTGCTCAGCCACCTCTGTGGCCCCGGCCAGGTATTATTTTAAAAGCATGGGAATCAAGAGGGATTCTGGGTAAAGAGCAGGCCACCTGACTGGCCTGACCCACAAGAGGGACTCCGATCCATTTGTGTGTTACTCTCACTGGAGTCTTACAAAAACCGTGTCCGCTGCCCCACCACCACCCAGTCCTCCGCCCCACCTCCCTGTTCTGCTCAGGTCGGCTTCCTGAAGATTCTGCTTGGAAGGAAGCAAGAACCAGATGTGTAAACAGTAGAGGATGTGGTATGGGGACCCTGGTGCCCATTGTCCCCCTAACCAGTACCTCAGCTTCTTGGCTGGCCCAGCTGGTGTATGGGGACAGGCCCATGTCAGTACTGCCAGCATTTGGTGTGGGATAATTCTCTGCTTTGGGTCCTGACCTGCATGGCAGGAGGTTTGGCCTACCTTGGTATACCACTAGTGGATCCCTTTCCTATACCAATCAACGTGCCTCTGGCATCACCAGATGACTCCTGGGTTTCTTCTGAGAATGACCAATCTAAACTGTCCCTCCTGGTCACTTCCATGAGTGAACTCCAGATAGCCAGGATACAAGGCTCACCCTCCATTAACTCTACCAGATACTTCCTTTGTTACAAAGAGAGATGAGCCAGGGGGCAGGCAGCCTGTGTCCTGAGGCGTGTCCGGTGGGTGGAGGCAGTGGCTTAATGACTAATATGGTTCTCTCTCTCTCTCTCTCTCTCTCTCTCTCTCTCTCTCTCTCTCTCTCTCTCTCTCTCTTTAGCGCCTCTTGAACCGGAAGCCCACAGAGGAGCCAACTCCATCAAAGTGCCGTGTGGGCATAGGCTTCTTGTGAGTCTCCAAATGAATTGGCACTGGTCTCAAAGTGCTGCTTGATCTGAAGTGTGGCTGTGAGGGCCACACCAGAAAAAAAGCAAAGGATCAAAGGCCAGGAGGGCTGGAGGTGATCCACCCTATGTTTCTGACTGAGTTCGGGTTTCTATTGCTGCATCAGAACACCATGACCAAAAAGCAAGCTGGAGAGGAAAGGGTTTATTTGTGCTTACACTTCCACACTGCTGTTCATCATCAAAGGAAGTCAGGACAGAAACTTAAACAGGGCAGGAGCCTGGAGGCAGGAGCTGATGCAGAGGCCATGGAGGGGTGCTGCTTACTGGCTTGCTCCTCACGGCTTGCTCAGCCTGCTTTCATATAGACCCAGGATCACCAGCCTAGGGGTGGCCCCACCCACAATGGTCTGGGCCCTCCCCCATCAGGCACTACTTAAGAAAATGCCCTTTTACTAAAAAATGAGCTTCTGACTTGGGTTGCTCATTTTTTAGTAAAAGGGGGACCTGTAGGGTCCTAGTCCCCATTTTGGGTAACTGTTGCCTTACTTGCTGACCTTGACCTTGATATCCTCCCTATGCTAATTCCCTGTCGGGTTCCACCCTCCTGAATGTTTAAGGAAAGATCCTTGTCTGTGTATCCTGCATTAACATTAATGGGCATTAACAGCTTAGATGCAAGATTGTAAAACATCAGTAGCAAATTTCTGCCCTCCAGGGTTCTCCCATTGTGCTGAAAGCCTGTATTTAAGACCTCCTCCCTCTTTCAATAAATGGCATGGGGGGGAATTTATACTGTATCAAGCTATTAATAGAAAAATAAATAATAAATAAAAATGAAAAAAAAAATGCCCTACAGCTAGCTGAGTCTTATGGAGGCAATTTCCCAATTGAGGTTCCCTTTCAGATGACGCTAGCTTGTGGCAAGTTGACACAAAACTAGCCATCACAGTATCCTTTTAACATCTCATGATCAGAAGTTAATATATTTTGAACATCACAAAAGCAACAAAAAAGCTAAAGAATTCACTCATGTCATGCTGGGACAATAGCGAAGCCATCCTTCTGTTACTTACAGAGTGGGCTTTGTCCACATCAGGCATTTGTGGGCAGCACCCTGTTGGCGCTGATCCACCTCAACAGAAGGGAATGCTGCTGTTCTAACCATAGCAACAGCAGTTACAGACCCTCCTTTAGAAACCTCTGTGAACAATAGGAAACTCGTGGAGATCAGAAACCTGCGAAGATGCCTCTGGTCTTAGCTAAGGCGTTCCCATTTTCACCTCATGGTGCTGAGCTGTGTTTAAGCAACCTCAGAAATGGAAGGCATAGTCAGGTTGGCTTCCAGAAACATGGTCCCCCACTGTTGCATTTACAGGTTTTTCTGAGCCTCTTAGGAGAGTAGTCGCCACCCCCGGTCCCACCCCATCTTTGGCTGCCAAAGGGTCGCCACAGTACGTGAGGCCGTCCTACCTTCAGGACCTGTTCCAAGTTCTCCAGTTTGGCTTGGAGCTGGCGTTTCTCCTTCACAGTGAATCAAGCTCTCCTCTCAGGTCACCACGGAGAGCCAGGCATGTTCAGCCTTCACCTGTGAGCAGAAGGACAGGAGGCATGAAGGCCGTCAGGATCTACCCAGAATGGGAGGGGGGACCACAGTGGTCCCCTCCCAGCACCTCTGCAATCTCTTCTGGAGTGGTAGAGAGTCTGGAGTCTTTCTGCACAGACTGCCTGGGGATGTTCATACAAGTCAGGACCACCAGGCACCCAGAGGTAACATTCCTTCCTGCCCTTCCCACCTCCACCACACCCATAGTGATTGGTTCCAACTTGGAATGAGACCCAGTCCTGGTATACGGGCAATACTCTATCCCCTAGATATATTAATTGGCTGAGAAAGTCCTGTGACCCTTGTGTAAAAACCTGGTAAAAAGGAGACCCTCTTCTCAGTGGACCTGGGAAACTGGGAAGAAGGGCTAGAATTCTTGTATAATTTGCCACCATAAGAGAAGAAGAACAGGTCTTGGATGAAGTCAATGAAAGGACACAGGGCCAAGACACACAGAGGGGAAATGCTTGAGCACCTAGATCCAGCTATACCTGAAGCTCTTTATCCTTCTATCCAAGTTACTTGGGTCAATTGGAGTCATTTTCTGTCCCTTATACCGTGAGAATCCTAATAGATAAGAAAGTGTTACCCAGACTGTCCGCAAGGACTAATTCTTCTGTCTAAAACCTGGTCAGTATTGACATTGCAAGATGTCAATCCAGTGTCAACACATACACACACACACACACACACACACACACACACACACACACACACACACACACACTCTTCTCTGTCTATTGTTGTTTTTCTAAAGCAGGTCAGGGCATGTCACTGACAAGAGAAATCCTTGCACTGAGCTCCTGTAGATTTTTTAGGAGGAAACAGCATATTCCAACCCAAAGGCAGACTTCTAGCTCCTTTCCCTCCTCCCCGAATTTTGGAACAGACTGTCACAAAGCCGTGTTTTCCACCTCCAAAAATCCTCATTGTCTTAGAGACTTCATAAGCTACAAGGCTTGTACTAGACTAGACAATTTCCCTGACTCCAAGAGAAAGCGGGCAGGATGTGGCACTCCTGGTGGTTATGGGGGCTGCTACCAGGGGATCACGGGGATGTCTGGTAGGCAAGAGCTCATGCAAATCATCTTGTCGCCACCTGAGGCCTCTGGCAACAAACTCGGAAGAAGATGTCACAATCTACTTCAGTCAACTGGTCCTCACGCTTGAACCTCAACCCCGGGGCACAGGTTTGCTGGAAGCTGCCACGTTTCATGTTCCCACTTGTCAAGAGAGTAAAGGGATGGGGGGGTGGTGCGCAGGATGGAGGGGATTTGGAGCACTCAGAAGTTGGTCTCATCTGGAGCCCAGTATGGCTTTATGAAATGTTTGCAAGCCCAGTCTCTCCTGCTAGAAACTTCCTGGGGTTTCCATCAAAATCAAAGTCAGATCCAGACTCCCCAGAAGTAGGAGCTTCTACACAGTCTACCTCTCTTTTGCTGGTCTGGCCTGAGCTATCACATGCTGAGGAATCAGGCCTGTTCCCACTCCTGACCTTTCTCCCTTCGGGACTCAATGACCTGCCATGATATACCTTACCCATCCTGCACCACTCCCATCCCGGTCCAGCCCTGTGATTGAGCAGAGCCCCATCTGGCAGGCTGCCCTACCCACAGACGGTAATGAAAGCCGCGCCCTACCACCTGCCTCCACCCACTCCCAATTTGCCACACTCCTTTCTTCCAGGCCTTTGCAGTGTGGGTGATGATCCCGCACAGAAGCTGGCTCCGGCTGAATGTCACTGGAGCTGTCCCCAGAAAGCACCCTGCGTTGCTTCAGCTTGTCGTCAGAGAGCATTCTCTGTCAGGCCTTGTGGGGTCAGTCATCCCAGATCTTAGACTGACGGAGACACAGGTGGGACCCTACCTAGCCTCACCCCTGTTGCTCTTTGTCTGGAGGCTGTGTACCCCCACCCCCACCCCATAGCTATTGACCCTCTGTCCTGCAAGTACCCAGTCTTCATAAGGACCCCGACTCAGTCTCCTCCCTTGCTTTCTCAAGGGCTTGGGACTCTGCTTCACCCTACAGCTAGGACTCGGAAATCCACATGGCACAGTCCCTATTGGCCCTGGAACCCAGTGACAATGACTGTTTTGAGCACAAAACTATGTAAGAAAGGCTCTGGCTGGTCCTCTTCCAGCCAGAGACAGTGCTCGGAGCGGGGAAGACCACCCTGGAACCATGTCCCGGAAGCCACTGCCCACGCAGGGCAGAGCAGGACGGGATTCGCATCCAGGCTCCTCACTAGTTGGTAGCCCCACCCAGGACACGCCTCTCAAGTATCCAGGAACACACTGCGTTAGTCAGAGGCTCGACTCCTATTTCTGCTGGGTGAAGAGGGGGAGGGGCACTGGAGCTGACAGGTGGGACTCTGTCCAGTGGCCCTTGGTTTCACGGGAAAGGACACAGACCTGTCGTCTCTACATGCAAGCACTCTGAAACCTGCTGCCACCTCAGGGCCCAGTGAGTAGAAGAGGTCCGACTGCCCTGGTGGCCCAGGGTACACCAGGAACCTTAGCACTTTGGCTCACAGGTCCCAGCAGAGCCCAGCCCATGGGGTGGGGGGGGGGGAGGTGAGAATGGAAGGAAGAACAGATGTGTGTCTGTCCAAAGGTGTGAGGCTCACAGCCCACATTTCTATGATCATAAAGCACCCCCATGTTGCCGTCAGAGATGTGCTCAGCCTAGAATGTTCTCCTGGGAACTGAGCCAAGCTGCTTCCTGCAAAAGAGAAGCACTCAAAGCCACAAGGCACCCAGAGAGACCTCCCCAGGACAGACAGTACAGGATCCAGATGGCCAAAGGATAAGGCCACACCGCTCTCCTTTGTCCCAAACATAAAGAGGCCTTGAGGTCTCCGCACGTATGCAAGTATCTATGGAACAAAACAGGAAATAAAAACTTAGCCTATCAAATCCTAAATGTCTGTGTGTCGTCCTCACAAACTTCCATAATGTTCTCGATTAAACTACTGCCTCCATTTTTCATACTGGCATTCGATAGTTGGATGCGGATTCTGCCAGCAGGGTCACCGGATTTACAGGTTGCAGCTCAGAAAGTCCTTGGGCTACAGATGAACTGATACAACACCGTGTTTGGGGCCTTGGCACCCCCAGGCTTGCATGCTACCCCACCAGGCAGACAAAGCTCACTCAGCAACGCTGGCCGCCGGGTATCTGCTCGAACATTTCCAGTTCACAGCTGATTCTAGAGGGAGCCACAAGGCGCCTGGCAGGGAGAGATGCAGAACACTTAGCCACAGCTACCCGAAGCAAACCTCAACCTGCCATGGGACAGCTGTCCCTGCCTGGGGGCAGCTCACAGCTCCGTCTAGCTCAGCCAATGAAGAAATTAGAATTAGTTTGGGAGAGCAGTAAACAGGTGACTTTGCAAGCCTCGAGGCATTGGGGACATTTTCTGTACTGTGTCCCAGATTTCCGGGCTCAATGCTCCTTCCTCCACAAGGCTGTCTGCCAGAGGGACTTTGGCGCAGTGTTTAATAGTCTGGACCACATCTGGAACTCAGAATCTATCAGCTCTGCTTAAGCTCAGGAAGAGTGGGGGCCACACATCTCCTCTCATCCATAATTAATATTGCTCTCTTCCTAGGGGCTGCTAAAAAAGCAGATTGCAACTCCAGGCAAGAACCTAAGAAGGGAAAGAGCGGACCCCTGCAATCTTCCCGAGAGCCAGGTTTGTATTGACAAGCCCCTGCCCACTGTGAATCAGACGTAACATTCACTGTTGTCCTGGGACTTCCCAGCTACTTGAGGACACAAGATGCTCACTCAGCCCACGGGCAATCTGGTGAGCCGATGTCTCCCATGGAAGGCTCTAAGCCTGCAAGCTAGCTCACCCAGAACTGGGAAGAGAACAGAGCCCGGCCAGGCTGGCAAGGGGGCGGGACAGATCTGGGAACATCTCTGCCAGCCTGCTGTTCCTGTCTGGGGCCCTGTGAGTCACCAGGCTCCTCTGACATCCCTGCAAAGCAGCTTAGGGAAGGCACTCTCCCTCGGCACCTAGAAGCCTACTCAAAGATTTATCTTTTTTTATAATTTTAATTATATGTATGTGTGCCTGTCTGTGTGTGAGAATATACACACGAGTGCAGGTACCCCTGGATACCAGAGGCATCAGATGTCCCTTGGAGGCTGGAGTGACAGGTGCTTATGAGCTGTGAGCTGCCTGATATGGGTGCTGGGAACTGAACTCAGGTCCTCTGCAAGAGCACTAAGTGCTTTTAACCTCTGAGCCATCTTTCCAGGCCCCTAACAGGTTTTTTTAAAGAGAGAATTCTGGGAAGATGCCCATAAGTCTCTGGAAAACACAAAGCTGAACTAAGTCCTATTTTTCAGAAATAGGGACGCCCAGAGGCTGGGCCAAGAGGTTACCTTGGAGCCCTTACTGTGACTGCTTCTGGGGGAGTGCTGGCTTGGCCAGGAACCCCACCCCATCCCACCAAGGCTGGAGGTGGGGGGGGCTGAAAGGGAGGAATAAAGCTAGCCCATGGACCAGCTCCCCACCAGCCCTATCATTCTATATTCAGTGCTCAAAACAAATGTCCCCATCAATTGCTGTGACTCCTGGGCTGAGAAGGTCACGGGGCCTTCTCCTGTGTGCACCCTTGGTGTGCCTGTGCCTGGGTTGCTTTGAAGAAGAGCTGCTTTGAAGTAGAGAAGCTGATGGGAGCAGGGGAAAGGGCACTAACTGGAAAGCACATTCATTTTTAAAATGTGATTAAAATATCCACGACGCCACCTCAACTATTTTCAAGTCCAGTGATACTAAGATACTAAGCTGGCTTCTCCCCACCCCCCATGACTGCCACCCATGCCTAGACCTCTGTCTCCTTAAACAATAGCTCCCAACCTCTACTCCCTTGGACCTAGGGAGTATTTTCTGTCTCACATTTGACTACTCCAGGGACCTCATTTAAGTAAAATCAAAACCAGACCTATAATCAAGTAGCTATTCAAGAAGAATAGAAATCCAGTCTTGAAAACAAAAAGAAGGAGGAAGAGGAGGAGGAGGGAGGGAGGGAGGGAGGGAGAGAGGGGGGGGAGGAAGGAAGGAAGGAAGGAAGGAAGGAAGGAAGGAAGGAAGGAAGGAGAGAAGAGAAGAGAAGAGAAGAGAAGAGAAGAGAAAAGAAAAGAAAAGAAAAGAAAAGAAAAGAAAAGAAAAGAAAAGAAAAGAAAAGAAAAGAAAAGAAAAGAAAAGAAAAGAAAAGAAAAGAAAAGAAAAAAAGAGGGGGTTGATAGCTCAAAGCCTGCCTGATAAACCTGTCTCAAGACGAAAAATAAAAAGAGGGCTGGTGGTATGGCTCAGTAGTAGACACTTGCCCAGCATGCACAAGGTCCTTGGTTCCACCCCCAAATTTCAAATAAGCAAACAAATAAAAAGTTCAGTTGTTCAGTATCCATCGTTTTGTGGCTGGCCTCCCCGGATGTCCTCCAGGTCCACCCATGCTGTGGCTCATATTGGAATGGCCTCTCATTATGGATGAACACAGAACAGAGCCAAGCCAGGCTGGTGTGGGGGTGGGAAAGGTCTGGGCACACCCCTGCCAGTGTGCTGTCACCGGCTGTACCCTGTGAGTCACCAGAGCAGGGTGGGGGAGGGGGGACAATCACTCAGCACCTCAAAGCCTGTTTTAAAGGAGCAGGGAGAGAAGGCATCAGGAGCAGACGTTTCTGGTCTTTAGGAAAAGTCAAGCTGGGTTACCTATGAGTTCCTTGTGCATCTCTTTATCATCAGGGGATACATGGGTTTAGGCCACTGTTTATACCACGGGCACACCAACACAGGTCTGAGACCCTGCTTTTGATTCGTTTGGCTACACACCCTGTGATCATGTTAACCATCAACTTGACAGAATCCAGAATCCCCTGGCAGATGGGCCTCCGAGCATACCTATTTGGGGGGGTGTGGGATGTGAATCTGATTTAGCTAACTGATCTAGGAAAACTCATCTCAATTACAGCTGGGACTATTCTCTGGGCAGATCCTGGTCTATGTATGATAGAGAAAGCGAACTGGATCCTGGCACGCCGTCATCCCTGGCTCTCTGCTTCCTGACTGTGGATGCGACTTGAGTAGCTGCCTCAGACTCCTGCCAGTGTGTCTTCCCCTGCAACGGTGGACCATAAAATAAACCTTCTCTCCCTTAGGTTGCTTTCGTCAGAGTATGTTACCACAGCAGCAAATAAAGGAACTAACATAGACTTCCAAGTGGGATTGCTGCATCATACATAGTCCTAGCTAAATTCTGGCAGGACATCCAGCCCACTTTCCCACTAGCTGCCCAGTCCCAACAGCAATGTACAGGGATCCCTACCCTCAATGACACTGCAATTTCTTGACAAGAAAAAAAAAACTTCACATTTTTAAGATTTTATTTCAAATTATGTGTTTACGGGCATAGGGAGGCTGTACATGTGTGTGCAATGTCCATCAAGACCAGAAGGGGGCGACAGATCATTTAGAGCTGGAGTTGCAGGTTGTGAGCCAGATAACGTCAGTGTTGGGAACTGAACTCAGATCCTCACTCCGTTCACACTGTTAATCACTGAGCCATCTCTCTGGCCCCAAGCTTTTTCTTTTGAGGGACTTTTACATACAAGTGCTCTACCATAGAGCTATGTCCTTAATCCAAAACCACACTTTTAAAAAGATGCTAAGTGGAAAGGCTTGCACACAGATGCCAAACGGTTAGCTTGGCTATTCCTTGTCTAGGTGAAGCCATGACATCAGTAACTCAAAACCATCCGGTCGGGGCTTGGGGTGTGGCTCCTGGTGGTGTGGCTCCGTGGTAGAGCCCTTGCCTAGCCTGTGCAAGGCCCAGTTCCCCAAACTAAAAAGAACGAGAATGTTTAAAGCCTGCCTTGGTGGGCAGGCTTGTCATTCTGGATCTCAGGAGGCCAAAGCATGGGGACAGTGAGTTCTAGAACCATCTGATGCTCATAATGAGACACGTACTCTAAAAAAAAAAAAAAACCAAAAGCACCAATCCACTACTCAATTAATACCAAAGGGTTCTTCGCAATCCACATGCTGGAGGCTCACCCATGGAGGTGACAGCAAAGACCAGACCAGAGGAGACAGACAGACAGACACAGCAGTGAAGATATGCCACACTGAGAAAGGACTGACAGACTAAAAGACGTAAAAACCGGTGATACAAGGTCCCACGGGAGGAGAGGAGAGGCGAGCCTTCAGGCTGGTGACGGGCAGCTCTGTGGGAAGACTTTGGGGCTTCAGCAGCTGGGGCTTTGGGAAGAGGAGGGGGTAGGGCATTCTGAGCCCAGAAACTATTTGGAGTTGAGACCAGATTGAGGTTCCCAGTCGCAAAAAGAAAGTTGGGGTGGCTGAAGCTTGGCGAATGAGGTGGAGTGGCAGACACTAAGGTCACACAAGGTCACCAGAACTTCATGTGTTTATGGGAGGCCCAGGAGGGAGTGCATTGAAGAAGCCGAGATCACTCCATCTGCTACGGGGATCACGGCAGGATGGCGAGCAGGGAGGTAGAGAGGCTAATTAAGAAGCCATTTTTGCATCTGGGTAAGCAAAAAAACGGTAGCCTGGCATGAATGCCGGCAGCTATGGGAGCCAGGTGCAGAGCTAGATAGAAGATGGAGGGCCAGGCCAAATTCAGGATGGGTCATTGCACTCTGGTTGGGGCGTCTGACTCAGTGTCTGGTAGATGTCTAGGTAGAGGTGTTGGGTGATTCATCAGGCTGGGGTCTTGGGCCAATTTGGCTGGGTAGGGTCTCTCCATCCATCCACATGCCCTCCCTTCCCTGTGACTCCTCCCAAACCCTCCTGAGATATCCCAAAGTGGGTTCACAGTAGCATTATTACCTGGTCATGCTGCTGGGCCCTCGAGGGAAGGCCTTTCCAGGGGGCCTCAGATGATGCTCCCTCTACACATCAGTCTTCAGTTCATCTTTCTGGAAAAGAAGGAAAAGGCATGGTGAGATGAGGCAGAGCCTGGGGACACAAAGTTCTGGTTTAGAGACTAGATCTAGGTTTGGTGGTGACTCTGGAACCTCAGCCAGGTTGGACCCCATCTTTCTTTCTAAGTCATGCATATCCCAGTTTCAGAATGGGTCTGGTGACCTGTACTATGACGTCATATGAACATGGAGCTGCTTTTGGATAGCTCTGCCATCCAGTCTTCTAGTAGCTGTAGGAAGGTCCAACTTGTTTCCCTTATTAAATTTCATTTCACTGGGTACAATGGCTACATTTGGTGTTGCGGGGGGGGGGGGGACAAGCTGTCTACTCCAAGGCAGGAGACATGACTCCAAGACAGTCACCTCCTCTTCCTACTACTCCAGTGTTTCCAAATCAGTCCAGTCATGAACCAGCAGCTCTTAGGGACCTCTGACAGCCTAAGTCCCCATGACAAGGAGTCAGCTACAGAAAGAAGTGCTGATAAATAACCAACAGAGCAGCCAAGAAAGAGCTGAGTCCTGGGCAGTGACGTTGAAGAACCCGGCCAGGGACAGATAGGAATGAATGAGGGAGGAAGCCAGGTTAAGCCGGAGTAGGCTCTACGACTAAGCAGCAAGGTTATCAGTGTGTTACTATAAGCATATTGCTCACCCTCACAGAAGCCAGAGTAGACATGGGAAGGGATGCTCTTGCAGCTGCTTAAGACCTCAATGCGGCTGCTTAAGCCGCATAGGCTCTGGTGTTCTCCGTGGGAGCAGAGCACACAGGCAGTTCTGATGTGCGTCTGTTGTAACACCTGGGGCAAGTACCCAGCACTCGCCCTTATCCTAGCCAACTGTTAGACAGCAAGATGTACCCTAAAAGGCATCGTAGACAGTACTAGAGGGCACCGGGGCTGTCTACTCAGGGAAATCAGCATCACTCTGGTTAAACTGAGCCCCTCTGAAGTTTAAGCCACTCTAATGAACAATCCCCATTTAAGAAATGCCAAATGAAGATCACTGTGTGTGTGTGTGTGTGTATATATATATATATATATATATTTATTATGTGCTTGAGACCAGAAGGGCCCTAGAATGTGTGGGTTTGCAGCCGCAACACGACAACTCCATCTCTAACAGGCAGCGTGGGTGACGACCAAGTTGAGGCTCCACAGAAGGACATGGCAGGGGGGACTGGAGATTTGACACAGGCTGAGGTCGTGGACACCCCTGTCACATCAGTGCATGTGGCTCTCCTCTATGTCAGAGTGGGACCCCTGAGGAGGTGGATAGCCCTGACTCCTGACCGCATTTGAGGGCTCAGTAATGAAGCTCAGCGACACACGCCCACAGCCTAGAGATGGGGAGACTGTGTGACTCACTTATTGTCACGACTATGCTGAGGAGTGATCCGGGGAACAGGGTCCCTCCCTCTCAGTCTCATCTGGCCTGGAATAGGACTGCAGAAACAAGCAATCCTGCTTACACAGACTTCCCTGCTGCCTCCGATAGTTAAACGTGTACACGTGTGTTTACACGTATGCGCACAGGCAGGTGGAAGCCAGAGGATGACCACAGCTATCACACATCAGACATCATCAGCTTGTTTTTCTGAGGCACCGTCTCTCACTAAATTGGGGTTTGTTAATGGGCTGGGCTGGCCAGCAAGTCTAAAGGAGCCTCCCATCTCTACCTCTCCAGAGTATGAAGCTGGCTTTTTTTTTTTTTTTTTTTTTAATGCAGGTTCTGGGAATCGAACTTGGATCCTCACACTTGCATGGCGGTACCCTACTCACTGAGCCATCTCCCTAGCCCTCAGATAGTTAACTCTTAAGCAATGCATGTAGTTGCCGCCTTTGATCTTTCAGTTTCAAAGCCCAGCAAAGGGACAGAGTTCAGGATCACCAGACTGAAGATAGCACACCCACGTGAGACAAGGGGGTATGTGAAGTCCCAGAGTTAAGCACCATCTACTTGAACCCTGCAGATGGGCACACAGCTATGAGGAACAGCTGCAGGCAAGAGACCAGAAGGTCCAAGAACCAGACTTGAGATCTCCTGGGAATGTAATCCTGAAATCTTGGGCCAAAGCAGAAAGTCTAGTAAATGAGGCTTTATCAAACCTTCAATATTCACTGACACACTAACTAGGAAAACCCTGAATTGATGTCCCGATGTGTCAGGTAAAGCGATGGGCAAAAAAAAAAAAAAAAAAAAGGAAATTCCAATGAGGATGCAGGAGTAGGGTGAGACCTATTCCAGAGTTTGAATCTCAGCTACCCTCAAGGGACAGATCAACACTACACATGGACAGCTGGCCCAAATGCAAGAACACTCTAGGCTGATGGTGAATGGGGGTATGCCCACTTCAGTCAGCTGCAGCATAGATCCAAGTGTAGAAGCCACACAAGAAGAAGGGTGCCCAGCGTCACCTTCGGCAGCTGTCACCTTGGCTTTCTCTCTCGATTACTCTTGTTTTGATATATGGTCTAGTGGCTCAAATAAAAACAGGCATAGTGGACTTATTCCCAAAATAGATGTACCTACAGGTTGGATTGGGCTTGAAAGTGGGGCGCTTTGTTAGAGAAGTCAGGCAGAGGTAGAACCCAAATGCTGGCAAGCGAGCGAGTGAAGGCACAGAGATCTGCTGGGCAGGAGTTCCCTTTATACAGGGGGGAAGCTGGTGATGCAAGGTACTGTAGCAGCTCTATTCATCTGAGCCTGGTGAGGCCGTATGCACTTTCTGTGGGGTGAACTGTATTCTCTCCTGGAGCTGAACTGTATTCTCTCCAAATGTACATCCTGGAGCCTCAACGTGGCAATATTTTAGACAGAGCTCTTGGGAGATTTGTACGGTTGAATGATGCTATACGATTAACCCTCTTCTTCCTCTTTCTTCTATCCCTCCCACATACACTGCCATATAAAGACAAAGCCTCCTGCAAGCATAAAGGGTACTAGCATAGTAGAGAACTAACCAGCTCCTTGACCTTGGAGTTCAGCCTCTGAGTGTCTGTTTTTTAACGCACCCAGCCTAGGGCTCCCAGACTGGTCTATCACCTTGCCACAGCACTGAAGAGGTAAGCCGGGTTTTCCTAGTTCCCAAAGCACATGTCAAGAGCCTGGCAAGGAAAGAACCAGCCCTTTGGGTGTCTCCCATCCTGCAGGGATGCTCAGCATATCCACTTTTCAGTGGAAAGATGGAGAGAAGGGGAAAACTAGAGCAAGAGAGGAAATCGAGTTGTCTGGAGAACTTGAGGGTTCTGCTTCCTCTACGCTGTGGCCTCAGTGGGTACCCGACACACATGTGTTCTAGACATAGGCCCTGTCCCCGGCTTCTTGAGACAGGAAGACAAGATAGGGCATGTAAAACATGGACAATGGCAGAAATGCAGGTAGTCAGGGGAGACCTAGGGGAATCTGTCCTTCCTGAGATACATCTGGAGTGAGAGACAAAAGAGATAGTCCCTCAGAGGAAGGACACGAAATAGGAACTTGTGGGAGGTACCATGGTGCCTCTATCTCGGGGACTTCGCACCACATGCACCATGGGAAACGCAAATGCCAGGCTCGCAGCAGCACTTTACAGACCCAAGAGACACTTCTTGCAGTCACCTGCTGCTGGAGACAGAACAAGGGGGGCTTCTGAAGACACCAGAGGTGGGGAAACTGTGTTCCCAGCCTCCAGGGACACCCGGAGAGCCAGGTGCACAGACGGGCTCCCATTCGACTCTGTAACAGCTGCAGTGTCTGAGCAGGGCTACTTTCACCCTCTGCTTCCTACAGCCTCCCCAGTCCTCCAAACCTTAGCCATGTCAGCACCGCAGAGTGGTGACTCTCTTGCCTTGTGCAGAAACCAAGGCACGGGGCGGGGGAGGGGGAGAAAGTGGGGGGCAGCAGTCCTTAACAGCCTGAGCAAGAAGCCTCTACATAGTAGGCAAATGGTCAGAGTTTGAGCCTTTGAGCCAGGCAGTATGGATCTCCAACTCCAACCCCCACACCCTACATACCTGTTCTTGCCATACCACAGGCTCCTGGGTGGCAAGCCCAGAACTGTCTCTAACCAGAAGGTTCGAGAAAGCTATACAGTTACTCCCAAGCTAGGGACTTGCAGGCACAGCTTGGGAACGAGGGCTAAGATCTCCATGAAATCAAAAAATGAACACGCATACACATTCTATATCACCTTACCAAACGCCACATAGAGACGATGCCTACATCCTACTTCACTGACTCAAGCAACAGCCACAGTGGTTGTCCAGGGTTAACAGCCAAGCCAAGTCTAAACAGTGATTTTTGTCAAAAATGACTTTACAAGAGTTTAAACACTGAAGACCCAGCAAGAGCCTGAGAAAGGTCAACCACAGCAATGTAAACTTTCAAACGCAACATTTTTGTGGGAAGGTGTGTGTAAGTGTGCGTGTCCATGTGTCTGTGTGTGTGTGTGTGTGTGTGTGTGGTGTGAATGTGTATGCAAGTGTGAACACAAGTGGGTGGAGAGTGCAGAGATTGATACTGTCTTTTTTTTTTTTTTTGAGGCAGAGTCTCTCGTTGAACCTAAAACTCATTGACTTGGCTCAGCTGGCTGACCAGAGAGTCCCTGAGATCCTCCTGTCTCAGCATCCCCAATGCTGGGATTACAGAATCACTCTGATGAGTCCAGCTTTTTTATGTAGGCTCCCAGGAATCAAATCTGGTTCCTTGCTCTTGCACAGTAAGCCCAGCCCTGACTGTAACTTCTTTATCTCCAAAGGGAAACTCGGTTTAAGGATTATAATGGCGTATCAAAGGAGACTGGGTTTGCATCCTGAACTTGGTTAGTTTTGTGTGTTTGTTTATGAGTCATTCACTTTGGTTTCGTCATCTGAGCAAAGCTGCAGAAGTTTTAAAGTCACTCTCGCATCTGGACATGTGTAATGATTTACAAATTACAAAGATCAATCGCACTGGGTTTGAATATAGACTGCGCCATTACAGCATGAAGTCTAGTCTAATACTACCATACAGGAATG